GCTACGCGGTAGGTGTGGTGAGTAAATTCCAGTCTAACCCTGGACCCGAGCACTGGGTTGCTGTCAAGCATATCCTCAAGTATCTTAGGAGAACAAGGAACTATATGCTTGTATATTCAGGTACTGACCTGACTATGACGGGATACACCGACTCTGACTTCCAATCGGACAAGGATTCTAGGAAATCCACTTCAGGATCAGTGTTTGTCCTGAATGGGGGTTCGGTGGTATGGAGGAGTATTAAGCAGACTCCACCATGGAGGCCGAATATGTGGCAGCTTGTGAAGCTGCAAAAGAGGCCGTATGGCTTAAGAAGTTCCTTGTATCACTGGAAATTGTTCCGGAAGTTGATAGGCCCATGGTACTGTATTTGCGATAACAGTGGGGCTGTAGCAAACACTAAGGAGCCTAGAAGCCACAAAAGGTCCAAGCACATAGAGCGGAAGTACCACCTCATCCGAGAGATTGTACAAAGAGGCGTTGTTGAAGTGACAAAGATATCAACACATGACAACTTGGCTGATCCATTCACAAAGGCTTTATCTGGTAAAGTCTTCGATAGCCATCTGGAGGGTTTGGGCATGCGAGATTGTACACACCTACTTTAAGTCCAAGTGGGAGTTTGTTGGAAATGTGTCCATAAAGTAGGATGTAATTTGTTATTTGTGAAATGACAAATGTCAGACATTATTGTTTTGCTGATTTTATAAAATAAAATAAAGTTATGTTTTGATACATATTCAAGAGTGTTAGTGATATTGCTTAGTCCATAGACTGTTATCAACGAAAGAAGAGTCATGGAAACCCTGCCGGACAACTCTTCTGATATAGTTTAAAATAGATATTCGCAGTCTTAGGATCGATTGGGCAATCGAATCCGATTATGACTGTTAGATCGAACCATATGATGCTGGTCTCGGGGCATGGGAGTTGGACTCTGTGGTTGATCTAGACATGTTCACAACATGTTGAATAGACCATGTGACTGATTAGGTTAGAGTAAAAACCGTTTACAGAA